ACTCAACTAATACCACCAGTTAATACCAACTCCAACCCCAGTTAACTCCAAATCCAGTTAATACAAACTCAAACACAACCCTAAACCCAATTTAACTAATATTCACAGCCTCAAACTGATAAAGCAGAACTAATTAAACTGATCAATGTTCAGCAACACAGGGGAAACGCAGCAAATCAGTGCGATCATGAGAGCAAGCCCGTATGGGAGTCATGCCGACACTCCGGAGATGGACACGGCACGCAGGCGTGTTTATATATCTGTCTACCTGTTTATTTATTTATGAATCATATTGCGTCTTGACAAACAAAGCGTCCTGTACTGGTGCAGCTAGCACCAGCAGCTATCTGGAACCACTTCATATGTGTTTGGAATTAAAGCAACGTTTTCGCGCTTGAACAAGTTTACTAGAATCAGTTTTCCAGGAGGGACACGTTAATAATGCTAACTGGGATTAGGGTGTTCACCCCACTGCTTTTCCAGTGCGTTCGTTGCATTTGTGAAGCGTTCAGGATTTTGTGTCCCAGCGTACGTCCATTAACATTCAAACATGGCTCCTTCTCCTTTTCTCTGAAGCTGAAAGGCCCGAGTGTGTCCACCAGCCTGGCTCGCTGTTCGGAGCCTGTGCAAGGAGGCACGAGCTACCGCTATAAATAAACAAACCCTGAGAGCAGCACACACACACGGCCCTGTTTACAGCAACAGACGACCCGGTCAAAATGTGGAGTTTCACCTCACACAGACACACGCACACACAGGCTGTGCGCGACGCACAAAATCCGTCAAAGCCATAAATTGCGCTGCTGCGTTTCTGTGTTTTCTTTGGCAAGCCAGCTGAGACCAACTCTCAGCGAAGGGCTGTGGACAAAAAGTACCAGCTGAAACGGACATGCTGAAATTTTTAACTGCATCTCACAATATACTAAAAAACAAACCTGTAAATCCTTTGTGTGTCCTGGTTAAATACTGGCTTGGATTACTTTATTCACGTGAACGCCTCAGTCTATTAGAATCTCCAGTCTGTGATCGGTCGAGGCTCACAACACGTGACAAAACATTCAGTGATTAGTGGCTTGTATGCTTAAGGCTGCACTGCATGATATATCAATACTGCGAATTTCTCAAAGATGATTAACAAGCGATGTATCATACAGTTCCTGTACAGTTACAGAGAAATAATCAGCTACCGAGCAGCCAGTCTGGAGACTAATAGTGTAATAGTGTCAACGCAGCACTGGAAAAACTGAGTGTTCAAAACTGCAAATTGATAGTTTTAAATTTTGGTTTGAAGTGTTTTCTCTTCTCACCTTGTAGTAGACAAAAATGTTCCATTTTTCCTCTGAACCCAAACTCCAAACCCAGACTCAAACTACCAAACCCAATACCCAGTTAATACCAAACCCAACCTCCAAACCCAATCAACACCAAACCCAACCTCAAACCATCAAACCCAATCCAACACCAAACCCAACCTCAAACCATCAAACCCAATCCAACACCAAACCCAACCTCAAACCATCAAACCCAAATCAACACCAAACCCAACCTCAAACCATCAAACCCAAATCAACACCAAACCCAACCTCAAACCATCAAACCCAATCAACACCAAACCCAACCTCAAACCATCAAACCCAAATCAACACCAAACCCAACTTCAAACCACCAAACCCAACCTCAAACCATCAAACCCAATCAACACCAAACCCAACCTCAAACCATCAAACCCAAATCAACACCAAACCCAACTTCAAACCATCAAACTGAACCTCAAACCCAGGCAATACCAAACCAAACCATCAAACCCTGTTAATACCAAACCCAACTTCAAGCTACAAAACCCAACCCCAAACATAGTTCATGCCAAACCCAACCTTAAACTACCAAACCCAACCTCCAAATCCAGTTAATATCAAACACCAACCTCAAACCCTGGCAATACTAAACCCAACCTCAAACCATCAAACTCAACCTTAAACCCTGGCAAAACCAAACTCATCCACAAAGCAGGCTAATACTACACCCAATCCAAACAATAAACCCTGCCAAGACCAAATCTCGACCCCAAACCCAGTTTATACTTTACCTAACCTGAAAGCACCGAATCCTCTGAATAAACGGCAGTTTCAGGCTACATTTTTGTGGAGCTAATATTGTCATACAACAGTGTTGAAGTTTAATAGTAGACTTACTTTCATGCTATGTAACTTTCATGTGTGGGAGTGTTAGCTTGCTTGTAGCATAAATGTAGCTTAAGTCATATTTTGATTTCTATACGGCCCCTCAATTTAGAGGATCCGGGGACACCTGGGAACAAAATCACGTATCATGTTTGGAACACCAGAAATGATGAGGCTACTTGTACAAAAGTCTCATCAATTTTAAGGGGGTTGCAATTTTATTGGTAAACAAACTGCTATGTTTAACTCAAAACACCAAAACATTAAAAAAAGGTTCTTCAAAGGTTCTTTAGTAAAGAGGAATGGCTCTATATAGAACCATGACCACGCAAAGAACCACCTGATGAAAACTGTTCTTCACGTTGATGGAGAATGTGTTGTATATGGCCCTATATAGAACCTTTTTGAAAAGGGTTCTATATAGCACCCAAAAGGGTTCTTCTATTGTTATGGTGTCAAGCTTGTAACAGCAGCAGAACCCATTTTGGTTCTGTTTTCAAAAACAACACACTCTTGCTCAATCTGAAGAACCATTTGACCATGCAGATGGTTCGTTAAACGGTCATGGTTCTATACAGAACCGCTGTCTTTACCAAAGAGCCCTTGCAGAACCTTCTTTTTTTTACTAGTGAGAATCATAATTTCACCCTAGAATTGAAAACCATATCGAAACTGAAAAGGTGGATCACTGCACCCCTGCTCGAGACCGGAGAGGCACAAACAGCGCGTGCAGGGTCAGATTAACCGGAGCGCGTTGCTGATTGGCTGGCAGTGCGCAGGCATTACAGGACTACAGGAGCTGAAGACGGCGGGCCAGCTGGACTTGGTTCGCGGTCAGGCTGCAACGAGGACACGCGCAAGCCGGTTCTTCTCGCGCGTGTTGCGCTGGTGTTGTGTGCGTTTAAAAGGGTTAGTGTCAGAAATACGTACACGCGCGCGCGCGCACACACACAGTCCTCTTTTGTTTGGCAGCGCGCGCTGCGTGTCCGTGCCGGGGCGAATGTGGGACAAAGAGACTCAGAAACTCGCTTCACGACACAAACAGATTAACCAGCGGCGCTGCTGGGGCGGGCGGGGGGGGTGGGGTCCTCCATTAAAGGGGAACTCCACCGAGTTTTCAAAATTTCTGAAAAATTCATAATTCTTTAAGATGCAAACAGAGGCATTCAGGGAGGTTTGGTGTAAAACGCTCTGCTCTAGAGAAACTTACAGAGTCAGAATTGTTCACAGTGGTGGTGATAGGAACCAGACGAAACGGTCATGAATACACTGTCTGATCTCTGAGAAGTTGTTTGACGACAGTTTTGACCTAAAATATCCTATTAATCCATTCGTGGTGGAGGGATACATGCTGGGCGCTGTGCAGCAAAATAGTCCCTGAAGATTTATGACTATTTTCCCATCATCAACATTCCATATAAACTCAGAAGACTCGTGTAGGTTCACTGGTGGTTCTGGATAGTAAATAAAATGTCTATATTTATGTTGTAGTCATGGCGACCCCTGGTTCCTATCAGCACCACTGTAAAGACATCTGAACCATTTCACACCAAACCACTCTGAATCTCTGTTTACATCTCAAACTACTGAATCATTATAGTGAAATTTAAAAAATATTGGTGGAATCCCCCTTTAACTGGGCCTAGTACAGGAACCACAGCGCGAGCGAGCGTGTATGGTATGTGTGTGTGTGTGTGAGGCGGTAACGGTCACCGGAACGCCTGCGCGAGCTTTCCGCTCGCCCTCTTGCGCACACACATAGACACGCTCGCGCGCACACACATAGACACGGTACGATCGTCTCGCGCTGTATCGCACGCGGACACGGAGCGGAGCGCGAGGCCAGCTCCAAAGCAAACAAAAAAAGCATAAATACTTGAAATAATTTTTTAAAATAATTTTTAAGGTTTGTTAAGAATTATAATAACAACTGATTGAAACACAATAATAATAATAATAATAATAATAATAATAATAATAAAGTCCTGTAAATGTTTATGCAGCTAGATTTAAAAATATATATCTTGTATCTTGTTTTAGGAATAAACTAGACCATATATGATCCGCGCGCGACCTCCAAAGCTCCAAAACTCGCGGACGTTAAAAAGGGCGAGGCTCCCAAATCAACAGAGCCCCGCGTGCGCTCACTGACTGAGAGGAGGGGGGAAAATGGTCAAATAAAATAGCGCGCGAGGCTGAAAACAGCACGTGCATTTCTGAGAAATCAAACAAGAGGGACGCAAAAAACTACGATCCGCTCTCGCTCTGAATCAGCGGCGCGCGCGGAGGAAAGTCCCGCAGCTCAGCCTTTAAACAGCCGCGCGCGCACACACGCACGCACGCAGACAGATCGGGACAAAACAACACACACACACACACACAGGCGCAGGCATAAGTTCGCCCGCGACCTCCTGCCCTCCTTCAAACCTTCAAACGCGCGCGGCTCGACGCGGCAGAAGAAAGCAGACAAAACAACAACAACAAACACCGTGTTTACAAACAACTTCAGAACTTTGGCGTTTGAAGCGCGCGGTCCACTCTCACATACACTCTCTCTCTTTGTTTCTGGCTCTCGCGCAGCCTCGTGGGCGATTTTTTTTTATTGTTTAAAGCCCGCAGAGCCATCAAAGAGAGCGCGAGCGCACACACACACACGAAGAGAGAGAGAGAGAGAAAGAGGAGAGCGAGAGAGAGAGAGAGCGAGAGAGAGAGAGAGCGAGAGCGAGAGAAAGAGGAGAGCGAGAGAGAGATAGATAGAGAGAGAGAAAGAGGAGAGAGAGAGGTGAAGCTTCATTAAAGTGAGTTCACAGCTTTTCTTACCTGCTGGTCTCGCTGATTTTCTCCTCCTCGCGCTCCCAACTAACTCACAAAGGGGGGCGCGAGCGCACGCGAGAGTCCCCGCGGCTCGAGCTCCACGCCGAGAGACACAGAGAGAGAATAAAAGCCACAAAAGACGAGTTTAAAGTCCCAGTAGATCCGCTCTTCTCCTTCTCCTCCGCCTCCGCTGTTTGTTTGTTTGTTGCGGAGCTTCGCTCGCGCCCTTCTTCTCTTTCTTCGTCTTCTTCACCGGCTGAGAAGAGCACGCGACTCCGGCCGCGTCCACACAGCACACAGCGAAGAAGCACGGAGGCACACACACATGGCGCGCGCGAGCGAACGAGAGAGAGAGAGAGAGAGAGAGAGAGAGAGAGAGAAAGAGAGAGAGAGAGAGAGAGGAGTGTACAGGTGGTGTTTTCCCTCAGGTCCGTCTCGGCTGTTCAGTTCGTGCCGCGCGCCATGTTGAGAGTCTCCCGCGGACACACGCGCGCGCACACACGCACACTCACAGTGAGAGAGAGGGACTCACACTCCCCGAGAGCACGAGGCGGAGGAGCCGCGCTTCATGCGGGAGGCGGAGCGGCTCTGCCCGCCGGCGCGCGCATGGTTTATGGTTTCCGTTCGCTCGAGGCTTCCCAGCTTGCGCGCTCCACAGAAACACGAGGAAAAACCAACAAAGCTGTCGATAACGCGAACGATAAAGCGCCGCGTCCTCTGCTCTTCTGCCGCTGCTGCTGTTCTCGCGGCGCCCGGAGCGCGAGAGTCCGACACGAGACACGCCGGAGCTTCTGAACGAGGAGCGCGCGCCGCGGAGAATGAGAGCGGAGCGAGGGAGACACACACACACACACACACACACAGAGAGAGAAACCCAGACACACACACCCCTCCCTAATCGCGCGCGGCGCACACACACAAACTCTACCCAGAGGGAGGAGGAACCACAATTACCATAAAACCCCACAGAGAGAGAGAGAGAGAGAGAGAGAGAGAGAGAGAGGAGAGAACGGGGAGAGAGAGAAAGAACGGGGAGAGAGAGAGAGAGAGAACGGAGAGAGACAGACACAGAGAGAGAGAGAGAGAAAGAACGGAGAGAGAGACACACAGAGAGGGAGAGAGAGAACGGAGAGAGAGAGACAGAGAAAGTGAGAAAGAACGGAGAGAGAGAGAGAGAAAGAACGGAGAGAGAGAAAGAACAGACAGAGAGAGAGAGAAAGAACAGAAAGAGAGAGAAAGAACAGAGTGAGAGAGAGAAATAGAAAACGGGGAGAGAACAGAAAGAGAGTGAACGAAGAGAGAGAGAAAATGGAGGGAGAGAGAGAGAGTGAACAGAGAAAAAGAGAGAGAGACAGACAGACAGAGTGAGAGAATAAAGGCAGAACGTTCGAAAAGAGGAACGTATAAAAAGAAAGAAAAGGAAATGAAGACAGAAGCAGACGGAGAGAGAGAGAAAGAGAAAAAGGAGAGAAAGAAAGCGGTGTGACCCAGTAAATCAGCGCTTAGCGCTCGCGCTCACACCCCTATTAAACTCTGTAACTCGCATCCGGCGATCGAGACCGCAGCTGCGCGAGACACGAGGTCATTAGAGGCGGACTGTCTTTATCTCACAGTTTGAAAATATTCCGCAGACGTTCGTTCGTTTGTGAGCGCGCGTGCAGGAGAAACGGCGCCAGCTGCGAGTGCTCGGGAGAAGCACCACGAGCTGTCGGGACCGCGATCCTCTCCACACACACACACACACACACGATCGTCTCGCGCTGTAAGGACGCCTAGAAAGGCGATGCGCGAGCGCGTTTGCCGTGTAGAAACACGTATATACTGTACGTCCTTATAAAGCGATTCTTACGTAAAGGTGACATACTGAACTGAACCGCGACAAAGAACCCCGAGAACGTTTAAACGGTCCTAGAGAACCTGTTCTACCCGGTTCTTTAAAAAAAAGTGAACACAAAACACGTCCTCCACAGTAAACACGCTCCAGTGTGGCACTTCCTTCAGACCTAAATCACAGAGTCTTTATTTACTGAGTTTAACTGGTTTATTTATACATTTATACAAATGTATACATTTTAATGCACAATTAACTCGTATAAATAAACAAATAAACATGTGTAACATATTTGGGGGGAAATCTAAAATATAAAAAAGTTTCAATTTGATGCAAAAGTTTCTATTTGATGATTTTATGTTTTATGCTGTCCAATAAGTAATAAACAGACTCTGTGCTTTAAAGTTTGCAGCAAAAAGAACACACTTAAGTGTGTCTCTGTAAATGAGAAGTTCACTTAATTACACTTAGACCGCAGCACCACATGACTACAGAGCACCACCAGAAGTTGTACCATTGCAAGAACGTTTTTTTTGGTACTCACACATATAATCGCTGTTGTCAGAAGAAAACCTCGTATGTCCAAAATGATGACTTTACAGCAGAAGGAAAAAAACTACTTTACTTTTAATGTAAGTCTATGGAACCAGAATTTTTTCAAAGTCATCCGTTTCTTTTGGTCCATTCATCATGAAATTTACACACAATGTAAAGGACAACAAAAATTGACATACAACAGCTATATATACACACACATACACACACACACACATACATACAAGCACAGAGAAAATGATATGCAAAGTAATTCAATTGGGAAGTGTCTGAAATTAATACACACAAACAACCCACTGAGATTTAATGTTTACCATGTTTACCATTTACAGCTGTTCGTAAGGAAGACCTGTATTTACAGTTAATAGTTTATCTAATCAGTCTTTCACTAAATGAACTGTAAAAACTGGACACTGTTAAACTCGGATCCACCTGAGAGCAGCAGAGTAGCGAGAGGTCAAAAACCAGTATGTTTATAAATTACAACAAAACTTGTTTTATTTGAAGTTTTCTTTATATATATATATATATATATATATATATATATAATATATATATATATATATATATATACACGTATATGGCGGTGCTTTGTAACATTGGGTCAGGGACAACAGATGTAAATTACTACTGGTGTTTATTAATGACAAATAAATAAATATGCACCTATATAAATGCGCTCAAATACAGTTGTGTGCACAAGTTTGGGCAGCCCTGGTCAAACTGAAATTTTGTTGATGTTCTAAGTGAAAATAAGTGAAACTGGATTTGCTGAATTTAACAAACTGGGGTGATAAATATAAAATGTGGCCTATGCAAAAGTTATGGCACCTTATATGTGCCTTATATATGAAGATTATTCCCCCAAAAGGATGACACCTATATATATATATATATATATATATATATATATATATATATATATATATATATATATATATATATATTGTTTGATCATCACAGCATTTTTCACTGCCATGTGAAACTTTTCAGAAAGCTGAGAGCTAAACCAGCGCATCGTTCCTATCAAGTGCGTCACCGTTTTAAGCCGTTTAACCCCCGTGAGTTCGGTCCGCTGAGCGCGAGGAGGGGGTCATTACCTCCCTGCCCCTCCCCCTCTCCAGCAGTGTCCTATCGTGCCTCTGTGGGTTTAGATGCTCCGTCCATTCACTAAAATGCAAATAAATACCCAGAGTGAGGGGTGATTTGGCACTTAATCTGATCTGCCCCCCCTCCTTACTGACCCTCCTGCCCCCTTCCCTCCCCCTCACCATTGTGTCACACTCCGGGGGAAGTGTGTGTATGTGTGTGAGTGTGTGTGTGTGTGTGTAAGCTGTTGAACGTGCTCCATGAGTGCGAGCCTGCCGGCAGCATGCGCTGGAAAAAAATCTTATTTAACCTTAAAACGTATAAACTACTACCTGCTACTCCACGTCCCAGCAGTTCAACTGGTTTCTTTCCGTTCAAAAAAAGGCCTCGAGCGATATATCGTCAGTACTGGATAACAGTGATGATGCTGATTCGGTTTTAGTGACATAATTAGCACAAAGCATTTGATATCTGATAAAATTTCAGCTTTTCAATCCTTTAAATTCTGTTTAATTTCGGGAGCTTTACTCATCCACATCCTGCTATTTGCTTTAGACTGTTTAGGAAGAACAGTCAGTTTAAAAACCCATAAAAACCGAATTGAGCAAGGTTTCGTTATGGAAATGTGGTTTCTGTCCGTGTAAGATTCCCTCTGGTGTCATTTTAAGAGAAGAAAATGAATCAAAACTAGAGACACCACTTTTTCATTTCCAGTCGAAACCTCTGAGGGGAACTCCACGTATTTTTCAGAATTTCTGCATAGTTCAAAGGTCATTCAGAGTGGTTTGGTGTGAAATGCTTCGCGCTCTAGAGAAAGTCAGAATTGTTGACAGGAACCAGACATCCACCTCTAAAAGCTCCCTCACAGAAAGTTAGTATAGGAAACGGTTATGAATTCACTGCCTGATGACTGAGACGTTGCTGCATGATAGCTTTGAGAATTTAAATCCATTCATGGTGGAGGGATACATACTATGTAGGGTGCTATGAGGCAAAATAGTCCCCAATAAAACTTATTATTTCAGATTTTCCACTATTTTCCCATCATCAACATTCCATATAAACTCAGAAGACTCGTGTAGGTTCACTGGTGGTTTTGGATGGTAAATAAAATGTCTATATTTGTGTTGTAGTCATGGCGACGCCTGGTTCCTATCAGCACCACTGTAAAGACATCTGAACCATTTCACACCAAACCACTGATTTATGCAGAAAGAAATAAGATGAGCATCTAAAAAGCATCAATACTCACTTTACTATCATACTAATTACGACTGTATTGGTGGCGCCTCTAATCAAAACAGTCCAGTGAAAAGCTGATACTGTGCTATATCTGGAAAACATCCTGATATCATATTTTAATCTCTATCGTCCGGCCCTCAAACCAATCAATCCAAATCAAGCACTTCACATCAGCCACTGGCCTTTTAAACGTTATACAGTGCAGGTCCAAAGTGCAGAATGGAGGAGGGTGAGGCTTTAAAAGGGTTTTTTTTTTTTGTTTTGTTTTTTTTTTCGGGGACTGGGTGCAGCCCAAAGCAGATCCATTAGAGCCGGACTGGTCACAGGACTGGAAGGGGGGGGTTGTGGTCATCCATAATTAATTTTAAAGGCTAGAGAAAGATACCTTCTGCTCGTGGCCTGAGAAAGAAACGGGGCATTTTAGATACCGCCCCCCCACCTCCCTCTCCATGATCGGTGGGCTGCTGGGTCAGTCTAATTGTCTGCTATTAAATTACCCACTGGAATGTGAAAACCGGGGGAGCCTCCATCTCATCCAGACACGATGCAATAAAAAAAACGAGGCTACAAATTACAAAAACGCTTTCTAATTGCCTCGTCGAAATAATGGATCCTTTTTCGCGTGCAGAGCGTTATGGGTGATGTCGAAGATTCCCTCCATCCCTCCTCTGTACACGTTTAAGATGGGTTTTTATCTCCATCAGCATGTCCAGCTCTTTATGCATGCTTGTATAAAAAAATAAATAAATAAATAAGTTTTGAATATAAATATGTATATCGTGAAAGGATTAAAATAAATTGATTAAAATACATTTTAAGCCAAAACTTGATCACAAACAGTGTTTCAGGGATCAGGCAGTGAATTCACAACCATTTCATGTAGTAACTTTCTGTGAGGGAGCTTTTAGAGGTGGACGTCTGGTTCCTATCACCACCACTGTGAACAGTTCTCACTCGGTAAGTTTATCTAGAACAGAGCGTTTCACACCAAACCACTCTGAGTGACTCTGTTTACATCTCAAGCATTTAATTATGCAACATTGTAGAAAAATCGATGGCTTTCCCCTTTAACATAACACATATACACATATATATATATATATATATATATATATATATATATATATATATATATATATATATGCAAAGGGTCTTTAAAGGGTGAATTCTATTATTATTAAACGGTTAAGACGTAAGTCATCCACCGTGGTTTGATGTGATATATTCTGTTCTAGAGTCAGGA